CCCGCCGCGCCGGGCCTCGCTCTGCCTCCTGCCCGGCTTACTCATGAGCAGGGCCTGTTAATGTCTCTTATTCACTCTGATAAAATCTAACCCGAGACTGCTTCCTGAATCTTGGGAGTTTTCTCTGGGCCACTTCAGCTGACGGTAGCTGAATCTTTTCTGTTGCCTCACGGCAGTGACTAATAACTTAAAAGCTGTTCTACTTTGAGACCCTTGAAAAAGGATGTTTCTAATGTGTGGCTTGCTCTCGTGAATTCAGAGGAAGAGTACAGTGCTTATGTTGCCTGCGTTTTGTATATTTCATGGTGTGTTAAATGTTGGGATATCAGTATGATGTGCATTTGTGGTGGAGCATAGGTTGGGTTGGGCGTTTGTAAATTTCTGTGTAGATGTTAAGTGACTGAAGGTTTTATCTTGTGACAGTGAGGCTTCTTTGCTTCTTAAGTAAGCCTCCTGGTTTATTTTAAGCATCAGAATGTCATTATGACTGTGTCCAGGGTGGCTGTAAGAAAGCATCCAGGCCAAAAGTTTGATAAGAGTGTGCACTGCACGTGGCTGTGCTTTTGTGCTGTTTTACTGTGTGCTTCTGTCTGTCAGGATCTGTTTCTGAACTCTGCTGTTCTTTGGGTTGTCACAAGAGTTTTTGTCTGCAGAAGAATCATTCAGTGGAAACTAGTTTGTTTACAAGATTGTACAAAAATGTTATCTCTATTAGTGGAGGCTTAAACTGACACAGTGTGGTTCCCATTGTTACTGTTCCTAGGAAGGAAAAAATGTTGAAGTTCCAAATTGTTGTTTTTCTGACTTGTAGTTTGATTTCTTTGAGTTGTGGAGTGTTTTTTTTTTTTCTTGATCTGTACAGCATTATCTGTAGTTCTCCCTGCATGTTCTTTCATTTGTCTCCAGTTTTCCCGTTTTGGATTTGCTTTAAGCAGTTGAACTTAGTGACATGCTTGTAATGGCTGATCAGGTTTCTGGCAGATGTGGACACAGCATGCAAGAAATGTAGATGCATAACCCTTGCTGCCAGAGACTTGACTCTTGCAGAAAATGTGTTTGGATGCTCTGTGTGTGTCACAGGCCATGTAAAGGGGCAGCACACCACTTAACAGGGTAGGTGTTAGACTGAGGGAGCGGGTCACTAGAACATGGTCTGGTACAATAATGACTTGAGTGTGGTGCTGGAGTAGCAGTGGGTATTGTTAATAAGTTGTTTGGGATAATTATAGTCTTTTTTTATAAATGATGTTGCTCTCCCTTATAGCATCTTTACTACAAAGACTTAGGCTGTTTATTTTTAGTTAAGTCATCTGATTGCTTATGCTATAGGCAAAGTGAGCCCTATTTTTCTGCAATAATGTGATTAACAGAAGAGTATGTGGTGATCAGGGAAACGAGGATTTTAAGTAGGAAGCTGTCTTTAGTCAGGTGTGATGCAATACTTCGAAAAGCAGCACCTGAAACAAAGCTTTCTTTAAAACATATCTTTGAAAGTGCTGAAGTACCTCAGTTATTCAGAACTACCGTCTTTCAGTTTAACTTCCAGGTGGGTAGAAATTTGTTGAGAACACAGGTAGAAGCATCTAGGCACTGGCATACTGGGCAAGTTGGAGTCTTAGTGTGAATTTGCCTTCCCTAGTGCTGAAAGGATGGCTCTTTAATAATCTCCTGTTGTTTCTCACATTCAGTAGTGTTTGTGTTTTGGAGAACTCTGTCAAAACACTGGAGAAGTACTTGGTGTGGTAAACTGAACACCACAAACTGCCTCTTGCCCTGTCAGCTGTTTTCTGATCTGATAAATGTTTGGAATTTTGAGGCATCAAAATTCTTTTAACAAGAGCTACATGAGTAATAGTGCATAAGGAGAATGCCACAATGTCTTGAATGTCAGCATTTTGTCTGAAAATAGATTATTAGTTTAATATCACACCACTCTGAAGGTCTTGGATCACAAATTTCAGATTGGTGCTGGTGATAGAGGCCTCATTTAAAGACATTCGATTATCTTCCAGGTTGCACTAAAGAAGTGAGGGCATAGCTTTTAATGTAGAATATAGAACTTAAGGCCACTGTAGAAAGTCTTAGGCGTATGTTAGTAGAAGAATTCTGAACCTAGGATTTACCTTATTTTTATTTTAAAAAAAAAAGCTGAATGTTTGATAATGTTAGTTTTGACTTAGTAATTTCGGGATATAGACAACTTTGCTGTCTGTATTTTGCCAGCTTAACTTTGTAAACAAATTAGTTGTAGCTTTTACCATAAAAATCCAGTCTTTCCCAGAGTAATGATGCTTGAAATTTGTCCAGGCTACATCAGCCATCAGTGACCTCACAACTAGTTCATAGTTAGTCCTTTGTCAAGCATTCTTGTATACAAGGAAATCAGGTTATTGACATAAAGCTGAGCTCCTCACCTCTTGGAAGGACTTTCTCATCATGTTTCAGGAAGTAAAGGAATATTGTCAGTTTCCATATTAACTCCAAAGTGTTTGGGTAGCTTTTAATAGTGGGTGCATTGGAGCCTTAGCTGCTGTGGGGTATAAAACAGCTGGAGGAATAATCTCTCATGTTGCCATTGCTTTAGCAGGAGTTAGCGTTCGTAAATCTTCTAGCCTTTTGATTACCAAGTAATCAAAAGAGTAAAATACTCTTTAGAGAGCGTAAAAGTACCTGACATCTTCAGTGTACTCTATGAATACCTGTATAGCACTTATTCTAAAAGCCCCAAGATTTAGCTATGATCAATAAGAGTGGCATTTAATAGTGACTATTTTTTGGTTTTTTGTGTGTGTGAAAACTAGATTAGATATGTATGTCACTGTTTACCTGTAAAACAGTATCTTGGACAGATGTTCGTAAATCTCTGGATATTATCCTGGGCAAATGGCTCATGTTGGACTTCATTAATAAAGTGAGAATATAAAAAGCTGTTTTGATCAGCTCTGCTAGATCTAAGAAAAATCTGTGGAAATCAAGTAAATGAAATTGGAGTGGATATGTTTGTCTTTTAATGGAGCAAGAGCTAACATAGCAATAATTTTCATAAAGCTGAAATAGCTGTTGGCAAAGCTCTGATAACACATCTATGACAAACAAGATGAGCATAAATGTGTAGAGAATATGGTTTGTCCCACCTGTTACTGTTGTCTGTTACGCAGACTAGTAGCCAGAAATGTCCTTACCAAAGTTTGGCAGCAGTGTAATATAAAGCCTCTAAGAGTGCTTCTTAGAGGCAGTTACAACTGATGTGTGCAGGCGACCTGTTACATCAATGGAGAATGAAATTGCATTTTGTATTAATTGCCATTAATACGTGTTTAAAGCTCTTACATATCAAATTTGCAATGGGGTCTTAAATGAGGAAGGAAATTTTTTAGGCTTCCTTTGTAAATGGTTTGTTGCCTAATTGAAAGGCATTGGGGGCACTTGTGTTCTAACTAGCTTGAAAACTGTGGCCTTGTGTGAATTGCCTCTGCAGTTGAAATTCAGATGAAACTAGAGGGACTCCAAAAACATCTGAGTCTTCTGAAAATTCCTTACCTGTTGGAATCAAGAAAAGCAGTTATTCCTTTTGTTTTTTTTGTGGGATTTCTTGATTGTACTGATGCATTTTAAGTGCCTCTTAAAAGTGCATTGTCTGATTTAAGTGCTTTCTTTGCTCTGACAAGCTTAAAGTGTATTTTTAGTGTTAATACAATATGGCTTCGTAAAGAGTGCTGCAGTGTTGTCCTGAAGTATAGTAAATGCTATTTAGGTGGTGCTTGAGTTGCTGACTTTATGGCTTGTAAAGGGGGTGGAACTTTTTAGCTATTACTCTCTTTAGGTTTAATATGACTTGTCTTCAATGCTAATTTGTTACAGCTGACTCGGTGCTGTGTTACGTACACTTCTTTCCTGTGGTTGACAGGAAGCGGTATTGGTGATGTGCCATACTATACGCTGCTCTATCTGTAACGCTGACTAAGGAAACTTTTTTCTATCTTCTTGCAGAAAGTGTGGATGTCCATCAACGAAGCTTTGATGTAGGAATTCAGATTGGCTATCAGCGTCGGAATAAGGATGTGTTAGCTTGGGTTAAAAAACGCAGAAGAACTATTCGTAGAGAAGACTTGATCAGCTTCCTGTGTGGAAAAGTTCCTCCTCCAAGAAATTCTAGAGCTCCTCCAAGACTGACTGTAGTATCCCCTAGCCGAGCTACTTCAACAGAGACTAGCTCATCTGTAGAGACTGATTTGCAACCCTTCCGTGAAGCCATAGCTCTGCATGGTAACAGTAGTTTTTTCAATACTCCTTGGTTAAAATTGGGTGGGAGTTCTTAAAGCATGTCTGGCTCTTGGCTGTTGTTGGTGTCATAATGTTGTGTACCTGATGTTCCTGATGTAGCTACAATAAGTTGCATAGTCAGATATTTTGAATGAGTAAAAGGTATTGTATAAAATTGCTGTTTGGATCTGTAATACTTTACAGCTGTGAACTCAACAGTTAAGTATCAACTTTTGGTAGTGCTTTTGAAGCCCAGAGAGACTTGGCATTCATACCAATGCTAAAGTAAACAGAAATCTTGGAAAATGATACTACTATGCTAGCAACTAGTTAAACATTAAGATTTGACTAGTAGCAAATTACCAAATTTTCGCAGGGTTAGGGAGGGATTTTGATGTCTTGGAGCTTTTGTCTCTGGGGTACTTTACCTCACTTTAGTACCCTTGTTGTTATGCACTGGATGATAGGATTTAGCCTTCTCCTTAAAGTACCCTGCAAAAGGTACTTCACTTGCACGTTGTTGTGATAGTTGAGTCCTGTTCAGAACTTAGTTCTAGCTTACTTTCAGTCTTAAATGTTTTCCAGTATCGTAGTCATACTGAACTTCTGTCCTTGCCATCACCAACAGTGTTGGTGGTGTATCTTTTATCCTTTTCACATATGGATTTTCAGTAGCTTATTCTGCATTGGACTGTTACCTAGCAAGTGATAAAGAAAAGTGTGTTTTAAATTGCCCCTGAGGTGAAACGAAGCTGTTCACCTATGGGTTTTATGCCCATACAAATTCTACAGGGTAGCAGATACCTTGAGGGTACAAATAGCAGACCATTCTATAAGTAAAAAAATCAAGTTACCTAGAAGTACGACTTGTGAAACTTAAATGAAATTTTTACTGTCTCAATAGTCTCAGTGGGGGGGTGGAATTAATGAGTTAATTAGATGAGTGGATTCCTGAAGATGCAATCTTTGCTTCTGCTATGCTGTGGTGGTTTTTCAAGATACATAAGCAGACACTGCTACTGTCTAGGTGACAGCTTAATTCTGGCATTGTTTGCTGCTCTGTTGCTGTTTAAATCAAGCAAGCTTCCACTCAGTCATGTAGCATTTGGCAGTTTTCCTTCTCATATTGGAAGCTAGCTAGAGAATTCTGTGCACTAGTATTGCTTACTGAGTAGGTAAAGCTAATTTTGTGAGGAGAACAACTGCAGAAGCTGGCTCTCACCTGATATGATGTGATAAACACTCTTGAAGTTTTATTTTCTGCAACTGTAATTGAATTGGTTTGCAGTTGGCTTTAACTCTAATGGCTGACTCTCAGGTGAGAGTAAGCTGGGTGGACTCACTTCAGCACACTGAGCTCTTGAGCAGAGTAAACTCAGAGGCGTTTTTACTGGTAATGACTCTTCATGTCCTCGTATTGTTTCTTAGCATCTGCTTTGAGTAGAGACGGTTTATGGAAGTCACTTCTCTGTACCATTTGCATGCCACTTAGGAAATGTGAACCATGAAGTACAAAGTTTTTTTCATATGTCATAATCTAATACAGGATCATGAGGACTGTAGGAAGTTCTCTGCTCTGTACTGGCACTGCAGGGGCTAGAAGCGTACTCCTCTCTTGCATCAGCTGGCTGACAAGGTTACATGTCAGTCACCTTCTGGATTAGGTTCTCCTGATATCAGTTTCAATCTGGTCTTTGACACAAATGCTTTTGTGCTAATCCTTTAGTGACTAGGCTTGTATTTGGCCTCATGACTGTTTTTAGGTTATTGCCTAAACATAGTATGTCTGTGTTCCTCCAGCTTCTCCCCTTTTTTTCTTTAGCATTAAGGAAGCTGTGATTAAACCACCTGTCAAACTATTTTCCTATTTATCTCAGACCTGCGTTTTGATTTTGAAACCTGTCTAGGATCTTCAGATGTGTGTAACTTAATTCCTCTGTAGGGCTATGATTTGTCTTTGTTTTGGCAGGCTGTTTAAAAGTGATTTCCTGCTTCTAGGTATTGTGAGGAAACACAAGAAAACTTGATGATAGTGAGTAGCAGTCTCAGCAAGTGTTCAGAACTGAGGTTTTAAGGAACATTTTTGACTGGCATGTAAAGGAGTGAGGCTTTGTTTTGTGTTGGTAGACTTCCTGTGGAAATGGAGTATTTCTGTTGGTAACGTGGATGGACTGAATTAGGTTTGGATAATGCTAGAACTTGCTGCTTTAAGGAACATCTCTCTTGGTGAAGCAGAGATAGGTATGAATCTGTGTCATACTGTGATGCCAAATAAGGCTCTGTTGAAGTTGAGCTGGTTTATTGACTTCTCAGAAATAGATACTAATATAAGTCTAAAGACCGTGGTCCTATAACTAGTTGGTCTTGCTCTTAGATGCAGGAATACCTGTATTTCGATCATGTAACCTCTACGTGCTTCATAATCACATCTGAAAACTGACAGAAGCTGTGGTAACAAAGTAGCTAATAATTAAATACTTCCTGGAACATGAAACAATTCTACGAGTATGCCCTAGACTAAAATGTTAGAGAATATCTTTAGGTATCAATACTTAAAGCTGTATGCTGCGTCTGAAGAGAAATCTGTTAAAACTGGATTTTTAACCTTACCTCTTCTATCTCAGACCTTATGGTTAGGTTATGTCTGATCTGTGTTATAGCTCCACAAGGTAGTTAACAGTTTTCTTGACAAAAGCTAGGGATTTTGAACACAAAACTTAATCTTTTTATGTCAATTATCAGTAGTCTCTGTGCTATAAGGAAACATGTTCTTCTCTACTGTTCTGCTTTCAAGACTTTTTGCAGTCTTGTAAAAGTCTTGTAAAAGCAAAATGATCATGACAAAAAAACCTATACTGACACAAGAATATGTAACATGTATATGATCTACCTTTCCTATTAACTCTATGGCATGTATGCTGTGCAGCTGTTACTGAAATCTTTAGTGTAGCTTAGGGGTACTTGAGAAATGAGTTTTTGAAACTAAGTACGTGAGAGAGTTAAACTCTGGTAAATAAAGAAATCTTTGCCCTTAATATCAGCTTTCCATTATTAGCGTACTGAAGGGTAAGACTTGAAATAAAACGTGGCTGGAAGCTTGAACTGAGCATATCTGAAAAGAAATTAAAGCCTTCAAGAAGAGCTGAGTATTAGCTCAACTAAAGTATGCTATTTCACTCTGAAGCTCAAGTGGATTTTTCTGAAAATTCAAGAACCATGCATCTGATGCCTAGCTTTTTAAGATGTAATAGTAGAAGATAAATACCTTTTTTGTTCAATGTCTCAAATATAGTTGGGTTTCCGACTTCTACCAGACCCTAAAATGTCATTATGGTTAGCATAGGTATGGATGTATCTTTGCTTACTTTCTGGATATGTATTGTTATATCCAATTCTGTAAGAATTTAAAATGATAGAATTACATCAAACTGAGCAAGAGTCATAAGACTCCCAAAAGCTGGTGTGTGCCAGGTCATTTTCTGCTTGACTGTAGCTAGCATACTAAGTCTTGCAGTGCTGGTGGCTGTGCACAGTCCATGTTTGAAGTGTTGCTTTGGTATTTTAGTGTGGGATGTGCTCCATGCTTTACAAACCATTCTCCCAGCATAATGGGAGAAAATGCTGCGATTTGAGGAAGGGGAAGAAACAAGCATGGGAAGACAATGCTGAAATGCTTTAGACTTGAGCATTCTTAACTAAAAATTACATAAATGGGCAAAAGCACAGTGAGGGAATGTTGGTTCTTTTGTTCTTTAGCTTTAATGTTGATGTATATCATTAATGTGATTCAGCCTCTTTGAGGGAGAAACCCTTGCTCTTGCATGTAAAAGTGTGTGGCTTGGACCCTTTAAAGAATCTGAATTTCCATTAGGCTGCCCTATTCTCTTAAAACATTAAACTGCAATATAAAACATCAGCAGTTGTTAGCAGGGTGGAGAAGCAGTTGGTGGAAGAGGGGATGAGAGAGCAGAGTTCAGGTTAGTTTGAAACAATTTAGCTTAGAGACTCTGTGTATATAGCTATCTCAGTAGTGTGTTGTATGGAGTGGTAAAACTTGCTCTTTGAGCAGTACTGTGAAAGAGTATGACATAGGAGTGACAATCTATCTGCATGCCATTTTGTATTTATCTGGGGTTATTAACCAGTTTCTGCTTTAGTCACACTATCTAAGTGTGAATGTTCTTTTTGATACTTCCTGATTAAAACTTATGTAAAATAATAGTTAATACTATTACTATATTGAACAGTAGTTATCCAGTATATTATACTATGGGTAGTGACCTGGATAACTCATGCTCATCATGGACATGGTTATAGTGCAGATAAAACAGCATTTTGTTTGTTATGTCAGTGTTGATAAACTTGCTAATTTTGAGTTCAGTTTTATTTACCTTAAGTATTTCTTACTCAGTAAAACTTATATTTTTAGCTAAACATTCTAATCGCTTGATAGTTTGGAGAGTACTTAGTTATAAACTAGCTAGATTGATCACAATTTCTTTTGTACTGCAGCTTTATATAATAGTACTATAATAAATGCTTTAGAATTTAGCTTCAGATAAAGGTTTTTTGTGAAATTGCTGGCTATGAAACACCATGTTGTTGATGACTTGACTGAAAGATGTGGCAGGAGTGAGAATGTAGTAAGTACTGCAAAATATTTCAGATATGCCCTCCACTTCAATCCTTTCAAGTTTAAAAAAGGAGAAAGAGCCATGTCTCCTGTAGAAAGCAGTGGGAGACTTCAGGGGTGGTCATGAGGCTGAGAGAAGTAGACACTTCAGTAGCTGTTTCAATCTCTGTCCTGTTGTATAGACAAAACTGATGTGCCTGTGATTAAATCATGTTAATCACAATATAGAAGTTTGAGATTGTGAAATAGTGTTGCTAAGTCATGTCATCTTACTGCTTCCTAGTATCTTACAATTTGCTTTCTGCTTTAAATAGTTACATGCTTTGGGAAGAGGTCCCAGAGTGCACTGAAAACTTAAAACTCGGAATAATTCACTATAAATGGGTTTTCTGAGGTTTTGTCTTTGCGTTACAACAACTTTTCAAGAAGAAAAATGAACTGTGGATCACAGTTCAGTTTCAGATTGTGAAAGATGCTTTCTCTGTCAACAAAAAAATAGATCTTTTCTATTGTGTTGCTGATTGTCTTCAAAGATGTTGCTTCCGTGAAATGGCAACTTGATATTTCAGTGCATGCCTTGAATTTTCTTTCTGATTCTTCATGTTAGCTTGATTACCCAATGCTAAACTGTGATCTAAATGTTTCATTTGACAGTTCTGCTGTCTTGGATTGATGTGTAGTGCTATGTAATATGGTTAACTGTCAGTAACTGATACCAAATTGTCACTCAGTCTGTTAGCATGCTCAGTAATGACTTACTAGTTCAGTATTAAATCCTGTATGAGATGAGATTAAACTGCAGCTAGAAGTCCATGTTGTGATGTGATAAACTTGTACTCCGATCTTTGTAGAAATTAATTCACAACTACTTTCCTGTCTTTGACATGGGGTTTGATTGAAGATTTTTAACTTCTTGATTATCCCCTGAAGACTTTTTGTGTATTTAAATGTACAGTGATTCAGTATTACCTAAATACTGGGAAGTCAATGCTTGCTTGAGGTGTTGCTGATAAACCTTGGTGGTCTATTTTAGAATGTGCAGTATATTACAGATGCATCTTTTAATTCTGACTTATATCTACTATTTTAAAAAACGCTTGTTATTTGAAAAGGCTCTACTTAAAAAACACAGTTCTTTGTTGGCATGACTCGTCACGGGTCAGTTTTGGGGCTTATTTAAAATATTTTTTCTCCCCTTGGGCACTAGACATAATGAAAAGTTGTTGTGATAAAACCAAATTAGTATATTGGTCATTTGGTTATGGGTTGTATCGTGTAAGTGGTGTAAATTGACTCTTGGTGGAAGCAACAATACTGAACTTGTATATTCAGAGCCATTTTGCTTGCAGTAATGATGGGGGAAATCTCTGCAATCAATTTGGATTTGAAACAATATCACCTTCTGTGCACTGTCAATTTTTTTCCAATTTAAATGTATAGGGTGAATTTTTCTAATGTATGTCATGCTGGTTGAAATTAAACTTACTGTTGTCTTTGAATTGTGAAGTGGTTTGTTACCTGCCCAAATTTTGCACGTTGATGGTTTATCCGAGTTACGGTGTCTGAATTGGCTTTTTGCTCATACATCTGTGTCATCCAATTAGCTGCTTTACTTTGGTCGATGTCTAGGAACCTCTTTTCGTAATGGTTTTGAATTTAAGCTTGACCTTAATCCTGGGAGTACTGGAACAAACTGTGTTTCTGAATTATCTCATTGTGCTGTTTGAATACTTGCTATCATTGTGAATGAAATAAGATTTTAATATTTAAAAACCCTATAGGGTCCCTATCAGACTTCAAACCATACTTGTGGGTTGTGTTGGAACACCACTTAGAGCTGTAAGCAAAAGCTCTAAGAAAGCATCAGTGATTAGTGACTGTTTCTCCTGGTTGCAAAACGCTCAGTCTGTGTAAAAAAGTATATGCTGTGCTGCTACAAGATCTAGGCCTTAAATGTTCATTCAGCAGTAACACAGAATAGAGTGAAATTGGTTGGCCTGTTTTGTCCTGACTTGTTTGTCAACCTACCATTGCTGCAGATGTCTTTGGAATTTACCTTCCAATTGAGGTTTCTGGCAACTGATCTAGTAGCCCTGGCAGTCTTCTCTTCACAGAGCCTCTGAAGTAGGTTGTTTGGCCGATCAGCAGCTCATAGGTAGGGTTTTGTTAGGCTTCACTTGGCCGCATGTGGCTTCTGGCTGCCTTGTTGGCTGGGTATGAAGATGCACATTAACTGGCTTTGTGCACACACAAGCTGTGTGATGGAGTTTTTGAGAGCGGAGAAAATCTGAGCGCTCAAAATCTTGCAGGTTACTGAGACAGAAGTCTTTCTGGGCAGTGTTAACACTTGCTTGTTCTTATTGCTAGGAAAAATATACAGATGTAGATCTTGTTCTGCTGTTCTTCATCTTCCTGCATGAGTTTTGCTTTGTTAGTTTATTTCTAGGGCCAACAGATGTGTTTGTACTTTCTTAATAATACTCAGATTTGAAGCAGTTAACGATGACAAAGATGGTTGTCTTACATCTGAGCTCTTACCTATAAATGTAGCCTGAATTCTAAATTGAGAAGAATTATTAGGCTTTAATGTACTAGCCCTTGCTAGACTTATGTTTTGGAATGCTCTGCTTTTGCAGAGTTGTAATAGTAATGTTACTGGAAGAGAAAAAGTTTAAATTGGCATGAAGTTCATGATTTTCTTGTTTATGGCTTTGTTTCTACAAGAAATAAAATGTTTAATGTTTAATTAAAACGAAGTTTATTAACAACCTGAACACAGATCGAAGTGATTGCAGGGTGCATGTGAGATGACATCTGTCAGTAGCAAATTTTGGAGGATTATCATGTAGTCTTGTTTGGCTTAATTTTTTATTTGTAAGTGCTTTTCTGAATTGATAACACTAATAGTGGCAGTTATGAAATAAAGCTTTTATTTAAACACTGTGATATAGACCTGTCCAAGATCCGCTGTCATACTGCGGTTTTCTTTGGAACTACAGTGACTGAGGGAGTGGAAGGCAGCAGGGTGGTGGCGTTTGAAACAAGACCAAGTCAAGTCAACCTGGAAAGCCCTTGGTAGAGGGTTTTCATTCTGTGTAATTGTTGGTCTAGTGTGAAGCCTTTGTATTGAAATAGCCTACTCCTGAGTATATTACATGTAGTTTGACTAGCATGTCATGCTTATGGAGCTAGCATTCCCGTAGTGTGCTGTTACAACCTGGTGTATAAGCTCATTTTTAATACTGTAAAAAGCGGTTCTAGTAATCATTAGATCCGTACACGGACTAAAAGCTGGGAAGGTGTGGTCTGGACTTCAAATAACTAAGTGTGGTAGAAATAATAGGATGAAGTGCATTTAATGTATCACTAGAAATCAAATAAGAGTCATCCCTTCTGCCACACATGGGGAAATGAACATTCTTTACTGTTTGATCTAAATGCTTTTTCTTTTTCCTCCCTAGGTCTCAGTGGTGCGATGGCTAGTATAAGTGTCCGCTCAAGTACACCAGGCTCGCCCACTCACGTGAGCAGTGGCTCCAATGCTAGTCGAAGGAGAAATGGACTTCATGATGTTGATTTGAACACTTTCATATCAGAAGAAATGGCACTCCACTTGGACAATGGTGGAACTAGAAAGCGTACCTCAGCCCAGTGTGGCGATGTCATTACAGACTCACCAACTCATAAACGCAACAGAATGATCTAAACTGCAAAAATTTCAAACCCACCATGCTGCTTGAAAGCCACTTGATCCTCAGAGTACTATTGAAAAGGAAACGTGAGGCCATCTTTCCATATTCACTGTTAAAGACAAATGAATTCAGTAATTGCCATAAAGGAAATTTTAGATATTACATTAGATGCCTCTTGTAACTGCGGCTTTCTTAAACTATATTCTTAGCAGAGGACATCAGATATTGTGTAGTAGTTAGCAAGATCATCATAGGCAAACATGTATCTGTTCCAAGGCTAAAAGTGACCTTACTTGTATTATTAAAGGGAAAGGAAATTTCAGATGTTTATTTGGTTATGGAATGCTTTTTTTTGTCCTTTATTTCCTGCTGTGTTGAGTATTTGCTTAAACAGTATTGCCAGTTTGACTGAAATTGTCTACAACATGACTTGGCATCTTTGTCAAAACTGCAGGCTTCCATTTTTGCAGCACTGTACCATGCACCTAGTTTCTATATAGTAACAGTGTGCAAGTTATAAATATTGGACTGTACCCTTTTTAGTTTTTAAAAGCAGTTGATAATTCTGGTGATTGTGTGATAATGTAAAGAGGTGCTATGATGGTCATGCAATTAATACTTAATATTGAATCAATACAAGGATCTTTATCGGATTCACTTTTGTGTGTTTTAGTGCTCTGAAGTAGCAATATTAAACTTTTCCCCAATTAACTTCATAGGCTTTTAAATCAGTCTGAGAAAATATATGTACTTATTGGTATTATCCTCGTGGTAACCATACAGTGTGCAGACTGCACCAGTGCTGACCTAAATTTAGAGAAAGATGTCCTGTAATTGGAAAATAGGCTTTTCTGTTCAGTATTAGTGAAGGGTAGGTTTTGTGTACACCCATAGCCCATTTTACATTTCTTGTGAAGTAATTGCCCATTACTGGGGAGGGGTGGGAGGAGAGGGGAAGAGGGGGAATAGTTGGAAAAGGGATGTGTTCTAACAAGTAAGGCTTCTGGTCACATGTGGAAACTTGGACTAACTTAAGACTCTGTGTGATGCTGTCTCCTTCCGGAGGGAGTGACATGCAGGTTCTGCGAAGTGCTAAGAAAATAATTTAAAACTGGAAGTTGATTATAAAGCTCTGAATTAATTAAAAAGGATAAATGGCTTTCTTTTTGTGTTGAGCTTACATTCATAGGATTGAACTCTGGCTGCCATAACTTAAGCGTAATCTAAAACTGAACTAGAGATCAAGACTGATATGCTGCAAATCCATTTCTGAATGGGGAAGGGTATATGTTGGTCTCAAAGAGTGTCCTGATATTTTTACATGTAAACGCAGCAAGTCTTTGGTGGAGAGCTCTGGCTGGTAGGGCCTCTAAATCTCTGCCTTGGAAGGGGATAATACGGGAGGAATAAAAAGATGAAGAGCTCCAAACCTGCAAGTTGGGAAGGGGTATTTAGCAAGGTGGTATGCATGCTTTAACTGGAAGCATAGGTGGATTCTTGAATGAAATGCAGCTATGTTAGATTTGCAATACTAAAAAAAATTGTGTTCTAGCTAAGTTAAGGCACCTCGAGCTCCATGTTACTACACAGCTCTTCAAGACTTTTGCTTACGTGCTTGTAGTCAGATCTTTTTTTATATTCCCTGTTGGAAGCAGATTTCACTGTAGTTTTGCTCCTTTTTACCCTGATGTCCTCTCATTGGTGTTCTCTAGTCAAGGCAAGACAGCAATGATGTGTTGAATTCTCAGAATTCAAGGCTCTCCACAAAAGGGTGTGATTTCCTTGCTTCGTGGTGCTTCCATCGAATTTCTTTACACTGAAGAGCTCTTGAAGATGTCAACAGTTGCACAGTACTGTAGCTAGAGGTTCTGTAGTTTGCGGGACAAGTGTAAGAACTGTCCAAAGCAAGATGGTAAAAACTGTTCAAAACCCCCCACCTGTGTTACATAGCTGAACTTACACATCACCTGAAGTCTCAGTATATGTTAATTTCAATTACTGCTATTAACTATGATTCATAAGACTTATTTTATGTAAAATATTAATACTGCGTAAAGCTAGTTTTCATTTGGAGACTGCATTTTCAACAAAGATTTTGAAGATGGTGTCTAAATATATCTGTTAGTATTTATTAGGCTGTTGGCAGAGGGATTTTTCTGTTCCAAAAGAAAAATCGAGTCCTGAACGGAAAGGACGTGTGTGAGAACCATTCTTCAGCTCTTCTGTTTATTCATTAACTGGCTTGTACAACTAAGATGCTTGTGCTCTGCGACTTCTAACACACTTTACTATGACGTGGTAAGGGTGACATCATATTGGTATCAGTTCCGTATGCGGGGACTGAACTGTAACAGTGCTTCTGGTCTAGCCCAAATTTTCAGAGCCTGTTCAAATTACTTCTCCCCTTCCTTGCAGTGAAGTGAATCCTGTTAATGCTGTGAAGCATTAATTCAGTCTAGTACCATCTAAAACTAAATTTGTCTGGCCTTTTACTTAATTTATGCCATTTTTCTTTGAAAGAAAGCAGGTTTAGATATTAAACTGGTTGCATTAATGTGTTTTTTTTGCTTGTAAGTTAAATATTTGGCAACTTCTTGATTGTTTTTCGTTAAGCCCCAATTGTTGTTTGTTCTTTGTTAACCTCTGCCAGAATGATCAAAAATGCATGTATTCACTGGTAAACACAAGGAGAACAGGTTGTCTCTCACAAAAAATAAAAAAAAAGTCCAGTACCTGTTGCTTTGAAGACTATTTCTTGTGCCAGTGTAGAAAATTGACATTCTGGAAATAGCTTTCGGCTATTATCCAAACTGTAGCTCCTGGAGCCAGAAGTGAGTTGATTTTCTGTAAGAAACATTGAATTGAGAACTGTTCAGTTTGGTAAAAATGGTGCTTACATTTGCTTTCTCCTATGAATCGTATAGTTGACCGGTCTCTTCATGTACATCAAATCTGACATGAATGTGCGGCAAGTTACATAAAGTACATCCTGCACTGAAGCTACTGAGCTTGGCTTGCTTATTAATGAAGTAAGTTTTAAATGTTAAATTTAAATCTATATTACAATAAAGTAATGCAAAAATGATTTTGGCTGAAACCGAAGTCCTGCAGTTAAACTTACTCTCAAATGTGGTTTACCCAGCTGGAGTAATAGAAGCTCTTAAGTCATAATAAACCTAATAAAAAAAAAAAATACAACTAATCAGGCTGCTTTGTAGTTCTTTAAGTTTCTGAATAATACAGTCCATCAGTAAACCTAAACCAAGGTATGGTTAGTGCAAATTGACAGGCTTATTTGGTTCTGCAGAGTAGGATTTTTCTTTAGGGATGCAATTTGATGGTAGGTGTTCAGCCTAGCTACACTGAAGAGGCTTTCCTTACTGCTTTCCTTACTCTCTTTTACGGACTAATGAAGATACGAAGAATTGGGGCATACTGTTACATTTGTATGAGATGTTCTGCAGAGTTTAACGTCACTGATACTTAGGAATAGCATCTTAAACTATGCCACTTAAAAGATCTTTAGCAAGTTAAGTGCTATTGACTTCAATAGTAGAGCTTTCCAGTCTCTTGCAAAAGACTTTGAACTTCAGTGAAATGAGGTGCTTTAGTAGCAGCTTCTCCTGCTGTATGTGGGTGTCTCAACCTGCAAACTTTTCCACCTACTTGCTGTATCAGCAGGTCTCTGAACTTCATTATGAAGGAAAGCTTTATTTCACAGGAGCTTTTAAGTTAAAAATGCATTTTCTTAATTAATGTTAACATTTTTTCACTTCTAGCCAGTGAAGTTTTCCAGTGGGGATTTGGAAAGCAGGTTTCAATGACTTGTAATAAAACAGCACGTTTCGGATGTTAGCCTAGAGCTAGCGATGTTTTGGCAGAAGTGAGGAATGCACACCTGACTTGTCCCACGGAGTTCACGGCACCAGTTGGGGCTGAGGTGGTTGTCTGGGGTGGCCACAGGGCCCTGTGATTTGCTCATTCCAGATCCTCTGGTTATTGAAGGTAATGAGGAAGGCACTAGTGCTTGTTGTAACTGTTCCTGTCTCTAAAGCTTTCCTTGTCTGCACATGTGACTCCCATGGGTAGTTGAGGCTGGTTAGCTTTCTCTGAGGGCTTGTGATGAAGTGGCTCTGTAGTTAACGCTGGTGCTTTCTGCTGACATTCACTCACCAGGCCCTTCCACACTGTCTCAGAAGGAAAACTAAGTGTGTCTCAAGCTCACAAAGGTAGTAGTGAATATAAACCAACTAAATTCACTTGTGTAGTATGGAAGCATTGCTTAGCTCTCAGGCTTGGAAGCTAAATGTTTCTTAGTAGGTGATGAGATTCCAGCATTTCCCATGTGACTTCATTTTGAGCAGTGATGCTGCTGCTCTTGTGACCGATGTTATAGCAGCTATCTGGGTTTTTTGAATGCTGGGGCTGTACGCAGGGCTGTATTTTTATTGGCTAAGATGGGATGTCATGGGGGAGTGCCCAAGAATGACCTTTTTGGAATCTGCTGTGAGCCCATGGAGCATACACTAGGGTTTGCAGAAAATCTTGAACTTCAGTATAAAAAGTACTGATCAATTTGTTGAAATAGCATCTAAGATGACTCTTAATCATGCTTTGCAATATTTCACTGTTTTTATACTGACTTTGTGTGAAGTGTAAAGGTGAAGTTGGTTCTGGATGTCACAGAACAGCAAGCTAGGCATGAGAGGAGGTACTGGGGTCCTCGTTTGTGTCGTGGTGTAATGCTACCTTGCATCTTTTGTCAGGAAGAAACCCATGATGCTTCTCCAGCTCTGAGACCGGAGCCACAAGAATTCTGGTATTTTGTACGTGTAGTGTCCTTTGTAAAAAGTGTCAGAGGATACAAAATGTTTGCATTTAAACTAGATAAACTTAAAATCTTGTTCCGTTTCTACCGGAGTTTTGATAGGATTGGTTCCAGCTCCTGCCCTTAGTGCCATGTGTACCTCTGCTCACAGAATATGGTCAATGCCCAGAAGTTCGAAGGTTAACATTTGTTGCTTTATTAATGCATATTTTTGGTTTTACATTAATAACTCTTTGAATCTAGCTTTCTGGTTTTGAAGTGAAAAATGAGTCTTATCTTGAGTCTTATCTATAAGGAAGCGTGCCAGACCAAGAGTAAGATGGGGAGAAAATATCGAGTTTGTTCTGTTTAACTGTGTAATTGATCTCATACAGTTAATAACTCCAGTTGTCTATAGTATTGCCTCTCTGCAAATCAATGATCTTTAGACCACTTTCAAACCACAAGGATCTGTGTGTCTTTGGAATGCTTTAGGCCAGTCTTGTCACTGTTTTTTTAAAAATACCTACTGTGCTTTTTTGAATATAATTAAAATGCTAAAGCTCTAAGGAGAGAGTTTTGCCACAAATTGGCAA